CGTCGTTAATTCAGAACTCGCAACGATAAGGCGCGAAGACATTTAGTCCTGCGCTACAACGGCTTGTTCGTATGAAGATTAGTAATATACTGGCACAAAATGCAGAATGTCACGCATTACATGTTCACATGCAGTTAATGCGTCGATTGATTAGCAACTGAAACTGTGATTATGACACAAACAAAATGTTAACATTTTATTTATAGTATTTACCCTTTTCTTTGCAAAATTTCACGATGAACTGAAAACGATGAAATTTTAGGCCGTCGTATGGTGAATTTGATCGTTAACAACAAAGGACAGAACTCGTAAGCGCGGCTGTACCACTGATCGAACGCATGCGTACTGTACTGTATGTTACGCATCTGCAAGTTGAGTGACAGTCAATTGTAAACTACTCAATTTCTTGACCGAGTGTGGCTAGGCTTCAGGTTGAAGGATTTTCTGCTCATGACAATTGATAAAGTCACACTGCTTTCATGCGTAGTCAGAAACGCTACACAACATCGTTAGTAGGTCAGACAGATTGTAAACCATCCCTCGTTGAAAGCAGAATTGAAAAGAATATCACCGCATTTCATCCCGTCAAAGCACTATTGGTATCCACAATTAAAAAGCATATGCACTGCAGCCACCGCAAAGGACACACGCCTTGCTGAATGGAAGACAGCAATAACATACAAGTAGACAACAAAAAAATCTTGAAGCCCATCAACAGCAACGATCCTTCCGAATTCGCATGAGACTGCAAGTAAGGGTCAATGGGTACCAAAACAATTCAAATTGTACAGCCTTGAACTTGCTTAAACGGTCTTGAGCAGTAAAGCTGACGAAAATGATATTGTTATCAGCTTAATGTCAGTCTCTCAAACTGTGCAAAACTCCTCAGTCATGCTGGCATAAATGTGATTTGTGCCATATTTATGAAAAGCTCTTAAAATCACCATTAATTCGGTAAAATCGAACACCTGTTTTAGCTTAGGAACGCAGAACTGCCTAAGATTTACTACTATTTGTATTTCTCCGTCAATTGCTCAAAAAATGCATGTGGTCGATGGTAGAAAACCCTGTAAGAAAATTGACACCTTCGTGACTTGTGACTAATTGGAGTTCCTTTCGAATATTGTTAAAAATGAATGCGGTTATAACGGTTCCGAATATGGTCATTGTGTGAGTGAAGAAATTGCGGATTTACAATAGTTCGATAGTTCTTGAGGTCTTTGTTGTGGCCCTTTTTTAAGACTAGCTCATTTTGATTTCTTTTTCATTGCGTGTTATGACTGCTACTCAGTTATTTTGCTCAGTGTATTCAATAATGCGTTTGGCAAGAGTTTTAAACTGGATCGTTTGTTTTTCTTAAGGTCTTATGCTTTTTACTCATCTTTATGTATCTGCCATTTCTTAAATTTCTGATTGCCCACTCAACTTTATCCCGTGTAACTTCTTGAATCGTTGCGGAAGCAACTTCCAATTCACATCTGTTTTCGAATGGTACAGATTCTTGTAGAACTGTGCTCTGATCGCATTCATCCGATTCCGATTGTTTCTGCCCTTCCTTCATTTTCCGTCGAAGTCGACATTCTCTGATACAACACGTCTAACTGATCCATGTATTTATTCCAGTCTGTGGAAAAATTATAACCTCTATCGACAATGGCGATGTGATAAGCTGGTTAACAAATTCTGAATGAAAATGTGAGGTAAATCTTTTTACTGTCCACTTCTTATGATCTATGACGATTTCTTATAGATTTTGGAACAGAAAGAGCTTGTCTTGGCTGGTAAGGATTGTCAACTGCAGCTTGGAACCGAATTAAACTCAATCTAATATGAAGCTTTTTGGTGTGGTATGAGCTATGTATATCGATTTTGACAGAAACAGTGTCAAATTTGTAAACAGTAGTGATTTCATCATCGTAGTGTCCAGAATCTAAGTAAATTAGCACAATAACGTATTTCCTTTTCGATATATCATTTTATAGAATGCATGCATTCTAGATATTCTTGATGTAGTCAAATGTTAATCTCCGACTCTGTCATTTTCATTTGCTGCAAGTCGCGCTGAGGTGACCTAAAGAGACAGAGCACGGCATAAAGTCTTAGCACCAAATGGAGCCGTAGGACATATTTCAGCTGCTGGTGTATCACAGAACGGTCGACGAAGCAAACTGTATTTGCAAGGAAGTACTTTTCATGTCTTTCAATTTTAATATAACTCTTTACTTAAGATGGAGCCGCCGTAATTTTCAGAGGTTATACCCGCTATATCTTAACCATCTAGCTGTTTACTGGGAACGTCGCGAAAAACTGTATATAGCCTGTCGAATGTTTAAGGTTCATGGACACTACATGAATAACTTCTGTTAAGTCATGATGAAAATTTTTAAGTTAGTATTTCAAGCGTTGAAGAGCAAATAATCATTCATTAAATTTATTTTTTTAGGGTCAAGTGCTAAAGACATAGCGCCTACAACATCAACAAACTACCGACACTCATCTACGAGCTGCTAGAACCATACCTCCAATGACTACTCTTACAGTTCACTGCAAATTCCATTTCGGCTCCCCTAAAGACCAGGAACGTACGAAAGAATAATGTATTTATACATCATCTCAACTGATCAAATTTGCAAGATTGGTGAATTTTATTCGTCGTTCCAACGAAGAAACGTTTTTCCAGGCATCTCAAAATAATTAATAAATATGGCTGCTGGTGTATGTCAATAACCATTCAGTATGAATAGTGAAATATGCTAACACCAGTAAGCAGTATACTTCTATATAAGGATGCCAACAGCTGCAATAAAACTTGTGAATAGGTTATTAGAACAGTGATTCTTTGCAAATTTTACCGTTTGGAAATGCCAATTCAGTAGAAGAAGAATTTACTTGCCGTAGTGCCTCCAACGTGATGCTAGGAATCCACAGACAGCTAAATTTCAGAACAATTTTTTTACAAGATGTCTGGTTTTTATATCTGGGCCGATAGTAACTTAGATTAGTGGCCAAAAATTTATGAATCAGGGCACCAAACACTGCAGACCATAAATCTTTGTCAATGCGCTTCGCTTCATATACCGCAGCATCATAAGTTTGTGCTCAGGTCTGTTTGACGGCAGTATTACCCAACCAGCATGCAATACCATTGTTTTCTAATTAGCACATACTCTACCCACAAAGCGTTGTTAAACAGCTTGACAAGAATGTCAACCAACGAACACAATGTAAGGTTCACATTAAAATGCAATCAGGTCCTTGTTATGTTGACCCGATTTTGCGTGTGAAACTCACAAGTGCTTCCAAGCTTTCATTAATAACTACGGAAGATATGTATTCATGCATATTCTGTATTTCGTATTCCTATATAGGCAGGGATTGCTTTGTCATCAGACCTAATTTAGAATTGTCTTTGTCTGTGACAGACACATTGATCTGACTGAAAAAATGCGCTTCGGTGATTGCATGCTGGGCAATACCGGAACTGCCAGCTTGTCTTGGTTGGAGAACAGATCGGTGTTCTTTGATGCTGAGGTTCAATTTTGGGTGGTGTTCTCAATTGCCTCTTCATCATAATCTCTTCACCGGTCTTAGTATGCAACGTTTATCGCTTCTTCTGAGTTAGTGGGCATGTCTGACAAGTCAATAATCTTCTTGAATAGCTTTTATTGAAGACCGCGAAAGACTGTACGAAAAGCAAAAACCAGGACGAAGAGCCACATACGTTTGATCTGATATCCTAGGGATGAAAAGCAGCACATTGGAAAGCAAGTCTGCAAACAATAAGCGGAGGCATTATCAGAGGAAATCATCAACGGCAATTCATCGGAAAAACGTACAAAAAGACCTGAGAAACAAGACAACACAACATCACAGCGTCATAACTAAAATGTACTTACCTATTTAAGCCAGAATATGACAGAAAGCATAGCAGTGAGCACAATTTAAGGATGGGAAGGAATTGCATCACCTTAAGCACAACAGAGTCCGAAAACTCTTGACGAAACAGCAGCCATAGCAAGCCAGAAGCCAAGAAAAACAAATGTAGGGGAGAAAACAAGACCAGGACAAGATACAGCAAAGAATTCAGCATCTGTAAAACGCAAGTATTTTCGGTGAAAAACAAAAGATGCGAAGGAAAAGCAGCATCCGTACGCAACCAACAAATGTTGAAAAAAATAAACTGACGGCGAGTGAACAAGTAAGATCATGACAAAGTAAAGAATATAACATATATCAGAAAGGAAATTTACTTATGGAAAGAACTGGGAGATTAAACAGCAAAGAAATGCCACGCACGTAGCAAAAAATCCTTAAGGCTGTCAAATCAGACGCAGAATACAAACTAAAAAGAACATACGGCACGGAGTGCGACGTCGGTAGGGCAAGCTAACGCTTACGGTATGGAACAGGCCGATCAGACAGCGAACAAACGGGCAACGGCAGTGAGCAACAATGAAAAGGAAACATGAAGAAAACATAAAGGGCCTAATTTTCCTTACGCAAGACAAGAATAATCCAACAATCCGAAATGCATGCGAAAATAGGCTTCTTATCGCGAGGAATAAAGACACACTTAAAGCTGAAAACACCGACGGATCGGAAGCCGCAGAATTTACATTTAACTAAGCGACAATGATGACAAAATTTATTGACCGATTTGCATGCTATTATTTCTGACTGGATGAAATTTGTGTTGCCTTTCAAGTATTACCCTCCTTCGCACGAAAAGAGTAAATGGCAGTACGACAGCCGTGCGCATTGCGCTTATCCTTAATATCAGATATCTTACTGTCGTAATCGAATCACTCCAGTAGCGATTGAAAGCCGTTCTGCCGCGAACGAGTTTGATTATGGCGGTGTTTATATCGGTTTTAGTTGTAACTGAAGCCTGCAAAGCTTTACTTTATTTAAATGAGTGGTGTGCAGACGGTCGGAATAAAACTTCTTTCAGCTTTTTGTGCTGTTGATACGTCACGTTGAAACCAACTCTCGTTCGAGATCGAACTTCCTGGAAGTTTGCAGCTCTGGTTTATGCGGAAATTTTCGTGCGAATTCGATTACAGGCAGTTCGGTGTCTCCTGGTTATTAAAATATCGATGCGCATGTGACTTTTCGATGTCGTCGTTTCGAATAAGTCTCTTCTAGTTGGAATCTTGTGTTTATCGCGTCGGTTCCTGATCGAAACTTCTGCCGTTCAGATTTTTAAATTTTCGCAGTTTTAGAGTTCCCAAACTCAGTCGCCCTCTTGTCCGTTGTTCCTGTTGCGTGCCGCGATGAGTACCGAAACAGAGACATTTGACCCAGACCTGCTGCCTAATGTGCCAAGGATGGAGTTTATCGTAAGTCTCTGACTGCTGTTGCTGCTTGATTGCTTGCTGGGCTTGCTTCGGTTCGATTATCGTCAACGACTGCTTCGAAGTTTTGCACGTCACTAAAGATTTTTTGTTACTTAATTGCCTTTCAGTTTGTGCTAGAAATATTATTAAGAAGTGGTTATGCAGTAGTTGGTAGCACGAAACGTATTCCGGAAAGGTTGTTGTTGTCGTTTAATGCTGAATTGAGGTTGATAATCAAAGTTTCTGCATTTAATTATGTTTAGCCCGGACGGAATATGCTGTCTGTCGAATCAGTGGTCAAACGTGTTGCCAACATATCCGTCTTTCTTATTTGCAGGTCACTTTTCGGTCTCGGACTTCGTTTTTCTAAAAAAAAATTTTTCTTAATTTTTTTCGATGAGACATTTTTGCAGAGAAGGCAAGCAGGCCTGGGAAGCTTGCGGATTGCTATCATCATCGTTAGACATTTGCGGGCACAATATTTCCGACTTATGGCATCTGATGCGTTCTGAACCTTTTTAAAGTTTTGCCATAAAGCACCGACTGAAGCTTCGTAGAAGAAATTATTCTTCTCCGAACGTGTCATAATGTTGTTTATCTATTATATTTAAAACGTATTCATACCGAATTTAAACATCGAAAACGTACAGTGTAAAGAAAATTCTTATCTTACTTTACATCGATACTGCGATGGTGTAAGATAGATGAAAATTTTACACTAAGTAGTACTGCAATATTGCACCACCCCTTTGCTTCTAGAAGCCTCACGAAACTTCACTCATGGAGCCAACCCCAGAATATCGGGGTTGTTTTCATTTTTTCGCCTTCAGATCATGGAGTCTGAGCTTGAGCATTTCTTTGATCAATCCAGTTAAGAGACGCGGTTTTGCATTCCATGCACTGCAGGCAGTTAAATACCATAGAGACTAGGCCTGCTTAAATGGTCCCTCTAGGCTACTAGAAGCAAGGGGGTGGTACAATACTGTGTTCAAGTTCGTAGTTCAAGAATTTCATCTGTCATACCACCGTAGTGTTGGTGTAAAGTAAGAAATGAATTTTTCTTTCTTGACATTACGTTTTCGCTGTTTCAGTCCGGTATCGATATGTTTCAAATGCTGTGTCGACGGTGGTATCGAAAACTCCACTCATGTAGTCGGAATTCCACTCACCCCCAGAACATCGAGGTTATGTTTTCGCCTGTTTATCCATGTTGTACGCTTCTCGTCGCCGACGTCTCAGAAGTTGGTTCCCACGTTAGAAGCCCGCAGTTTCTAGTTACGGAGTTTTGTTCATCGTATTATTTATGCCCGAATGAGAACATGTCCGAAAGTCATGCTTATATGATCTGCTATTTAATCCTCGTTACGCATCAAAGCCAGTTTCGTTGTAAGATGTTCATCCGCAATTTTTGTTTTTTCGTTAGAACAACATTTTGTGCCTTCTAACATCACTAGCGTGACCCAGGTAGGTACAAATGAGTTTTATTTGTGAAAAATTTCTTTGTCGGTTAGGTGCTGGAAGGCTAACCAAGCGCGCTGGATGCATGGAAAACCCTCTTGATTAACTGTGACTGGTACTGTCGCTGGAGATGATTTAACCGAATCACTTTAGCAGACGGACTCGGCTGCCTTTTCGTTTCCTTGTTGCAGCTAAAGATCTGTTACGCCGACTGATTCATCAGAATCTTTATTTTAGGCGTTGAATAAAAAACTGGTTTTCATTGTACTACTGCTTGTGGAGTTCATAAGGTTACGAATTCCATTAAGTTCACTTCCCATACTCTTAGAATATCCATGTACTTCAGGTCAGTATGAAGGAACTTACCTCACCGTACCTTGAACAACGCTTTCCTTTTTAAAATGAGATCTTTATCTTTCTCATATCAGCAGTTTTTTGAAGTATAAAGTTCAAACCAGTGTTGAACAGCAAAGACAATCTTCGACATTTGCTTAAATGACTGTTCTTCGACTATAATGGCAACGGTTGTTCGTTCGTACATTTCTTCCATAGTGGGCTCGATTTACTCATTAATACACATACAAGATTTTCTTCATTTTCAGCCGATGTACTGCGTCTAATGCGGCTTTAAAGTCAATGAAAGTGCACATAGGGAGAACTCTAATCGTCGGTATTGTCCAGTGATTTTAGCAAAAAGAAAAGCTTTGTCAGAGCAACAGTACTCTGTCTGAAAGTCTATTTAAATTCGAAAAAGTCTCTCATCACCTTCCTCTCGACCTTTTCAGAATCATCCGAGAGAATGGTTTGCCCGGCGTTGACATTAGCATGAAATGTGAGCACGGTGACTACACTGCCATACTGCCGGGATATTTCTTGAAAGCATGGAACTTATATTTTTAGTACCATTCCAGTTATTCGATTAACTGTCGGGAAATTGTATACGCCCTGCAAACGTTCTTCACGTTGAGGTCCGCTGACAAGATATTCCTTCGCAATCTGGGATTCGTATATGGCGGAATGCGTGTCGTACAAAAGGCGACAATAATGCGACAGTTCCACGAAATCATGAAAGACGTTCTTGCTCGTTTGTCGTCGAATATGTTTTTGTTGCAAAATGTCCTTTTCACGCCCATGCACGTATTAAAATACCATGGAGAGGTGACTTGTTTAAACGGTCCAGTAGGTTACTTGAAGCAAGAGGCCGATGCGACTACGCCTTGCGAATTCGAAGAAGTGGCAGAAGATTGTTATGCTTGCTGACGGCCGTCAGCAGTTCGCTAGTAAACCCACAATACCGAGGTTTACATTTTGGTCTCGAGAGAAATTGAATTGACCAAATGAATTAAACTGATTAGGTTACTTCGTGGAACAGACCTGACGACCACCTCATAGTCGATTCTAATCGTATCAGTTGGTACTTTTTAAATTCACTTTTTGGTACAGAATACTAAAGCGTGGTGTTAAAGTTCATTTAGCAGCAGAAAACAAGGGTAAATTGCCAAATTCCAGCTATTTACTGTATTTCAAGAAGGACAGACGTCGTCACTGTGAACTCTCTACCTCCCCATATCTAAGGGCCTTAAATTACGCTTGCTGTAGTGTCACAGGTCAGGTTTGCTATCATTAGAGACAAAACTCAGGATGAAACAATGGAAAGAAGCGTGAGAAATGCCCGTAACTTTCTGTGGCGCGCGATAATTCGGTATATCGCGATCGCTTTGCAGATCTGCATATTTTGAAAATCTTTTCAGGAGTATAGTCTTAGCGACATATAAATGTAATTGTAAACGGTACGGATAAAGTTTGTGAATTCAATAGAGTCAGTTGTGATGATAATCAGCAGTTCGTCTTCCCTTCATAATTATCTTTAGTCGCTGCATAGTTAATGCGACCAGTGCCTGTTGACCAACGTGCATATCGACAAGTAGGTATGCAGTTACTCTGCTGGTCAGCTGTACTTCTTTACTTTAAATTAACGGCACCGTTGACTAGACGTTTTCCTGCAAAGT